TTTTTTTTTTTTTAAATTAATTTTTATTTTGATTAATTTAATTTTAATACTTTTTTTTTTAAATAAATGTCTTTTTATTTATTTTTCGCTTTTAAGTTTTATATTTATTTCAAAATAACTATAGTTTATTTTTTTAAGGCACACACCTGACACCATATACTGTTTAGTAACGACTGTCTTTATTATATTATAATGTGCAATACAATAATGTAAAATATAGAATATGTATAAGAGTTTTACTTATAAGAGTTACATGAAGAGTACTTATTTTAAACATCACAACAATACTAACTAATTAAAATTCGATTATTTCCTAAGACCACTGATGATGAATACTTGGCAATACTCGAAACAGCGTTGTATGGTCAGCCAAATTTCAATATAATTAAATAAATTTTTGGGAGTGTTATTTCTTTCTTTGCTATTCGAAAACCCTGTAATCATTATTTATATTTATTAATTCTAGTGAACAACAATTGGGAAAGCTTTACGCCAACTTAAAAAAAAACCATCTCACCGTAATTTAAAAGGACTGAAGAGGACTGCAAAAGTTTTTTCATGGTCTACTCTTGCAGAAACAAAAAGAATGTGGACCGAATAAAAGTCCAAGCTAGCTTTTATGAAGGCAGAATATGAGAAGCGAATGTAGCAAATGCAACCAACTAGAGCTTGAAATAAGCTCTTTAAAAAATTCAATAATGTAAATGATTCAGAATATTCTTAAAATATTGAAACATATTTAAGTTAATTTATCATGCCGATACTATTGAAATAGTTTTTAAAATTACCAAAGTTCTAAAAAAAATTTCTATTTCATATCTAATTGAAACTTTTATGAATTTTACGCATGTCAGCAGATTTTTACAGAACCCTTAAGTGCTCGTTGTTGGCCACTTAAATCTCACACTAAAATTCAATGTTAAAGCTGCAAATAAGTGAATCAAAATATAAGAAATGACAATAATAAATAATTAATTTTGTATTAAAAAATCATCGTTATTAGAAAACTTTTAATCGAAAAATTAACTGTTTTTATATGTATTTTTCATTATTTAATGAGTATTTATAATAAATTATGTAAATATTTGTGTTTTCTAAAATTTATATTGTTTATATTATAAACATTTATTTGATAAATTTTTATTTCCAAAAATATTAAGTGGATTTCTTTTCATTGGGCTTAATAGAACCAATAGACTAGCATGAACGTGAGATGAACTTAACGACAACATGAACTGTCGGTTCAGTTTACACTATCATGAACTCTTATGATCGTGAAATTTGTTTTGTTTTGTGTAAACGTATGAAATGCTTTTTTGTGTTTGTATTTTTATCATCTGATATCATTTTATTTAGAAATAAAATTGTTTATCGGCTAGCAGACAAACAAAATTAAAAAGCTTTTATTTAAAAATTTTCAGCATATATTTCGTTCTGTTTTTTAGAACTTCATGAGTGCTTCATTTTTGCAAAAAGAATCTTATTTAAATTTTTTTTTTTTAAATGACCAAAACATTTATAAATTTAACACCGTAAACATTAAATATAATATTAATTATTTCAAAAACGTTAAAAACATTATTTTAAAACAACCGTAATGTCACAATAATAATAAATTAAAATACAATTTGTATAAATTTGATGAAGTTCTAAAAAACAAAACGAAATATATGCTGAAAATTTTTAAATAAAAGCTTTTTAATTTGGTTTGTCTGTTAGCCGATGAATAATTTTATTTCTAAATGAAATGCTATTGTGTAGTAGTGCACAGCAGAGAAAGTGAGAATATTCAGCATTAAAAGGTAAATATAAACATAACATTGCATATGTATATGAGTCAAGCTGAAGAACCGTAGCAAAATTCATGAAATTCATGCACTTACATCACACTCTCTTCCCTCTCTCATCAATAAACAACCGGTTTTCAAGTTCATGTTCATGTTCATGATTGTGTAAATAGGCCTATTGACTTGACAATATTGTTTTGGTAATTTTTGACGTGTGTATAATTTTGAAAATATATTGAAAAACATATTGGCTGTCAAAATGCAACTCGCACCCTTTTTTGAACTTTGTTGCTAAATGTATGCAGTGCAAAAAATCACAAGGAAAATCCTATTTAGTTTAGCATGAAATTAGAACAACTCGCACACGTCCTTAATAGATGGTAAGATAATGTGGAAATTTTCTTTTATTACAATCCATACAAAATATTCATATTCAAATATGGTTCTTAAATTTTAATGTATCAGTTGTATGTTTCGGAGAATCAAAGTAATAGCCTCCCTTTACAAAACAAAAATTTATAATTTGGTATACTTTTGTTTTTATATTAATTGGAAAATAAGATATTAAAACGTAGAAAGTTAACTTTCAAAAATAATTAAAAAACGAAATTATAGAAAAATTAGTTTTCGTTTTGGAACACGCGGTGTATTAATTAAAGCTCTCAAAAAGAACACCAGTATTTTTGTATGAATATATTTATATAGTTATGGATGTGTTTATCATTAAACTGCTGTTAATTCTGATAATAATGAACTGCCAAAACAACTACGACGAATTTCTGCATAATTTCTCCCCTTGACATAAAAGTTTAGCTAGTACATGCTATAATTAATTTAGTGAACTGTTAGAAAATTTTGACAAATAATCTTACGTTTTGTGTACGTAATTAAAGCCATCCATGGAAATTCATCAAGTTTTGTAATATTACCACCAACTATTCGTTCTGTGAGCTGTTTACCGCAGTTGGGATAGCTTGGTAATAAGTTTGTAGTTAACGAATTTGGACAGCAAATCTATTCCAAAAAAAGCCAAAATTTGACAGAAGAAGGAAAGAAATTAAATATATATGTATATATATATGATTTTTCAAGTATATACGTACTAAAATAATATTTCCAATTTTACCACATTGACTACTTCTTATATAGTCTCTATCTGCTTCCGATGTTGAGGGATCAACAATAAGATCAATTAAAATTTTACAGTCCGTCAACTTTATACATGTGCCATAATCATCATGAGGTGTTTTACATTCTCCGAATGAATCTATTGCAATATAAAAAAGAAAATGAAAATATACATACTCTATTTATACCATACTATAAGAAAATTTTTTTTAAGACTCAAAATAATAGAGGTATTCAGGCAACTGATTCGTTGTTTAGTTGATTCAAAAACTTCATATTAAAAAATTTAGCATTTTGATGTTAATCAGTTGCTTGAACGACCCAAAATGCGTAATTTGATTAGTTTGTTGTGTGTAAATGCCATGGCAGCACTCGCTTCAACAGCAAAAGTGAAACATACTTGTGTTTGCAAAATTGTTTACACACAATTCAAACAGCTGAGAGAGACAGCTAACAAATTTCTATACAAAAGTTCATTTTAAGTTATTATTACGACACTTGGGACTGGCAGCACTATTAATCAAATTTGTACAAATCTGAGAATCACCGAAATAGTTGATTCCCTGCTTAGTTTCATTTTTGTGTGTAAATTTTTGTTGTAATCAACTACTAAGCAACGAATCAGTTGCCTGAATACCCCTAATATTTGATAGTAAAATGTTATAGCTAGTGTGACTATTCGAAGATTTCGTAAGCGAGTATTAAAGAAAGAACACCATACAAATGAACGTGAATCACACAATTAGGTACAAATTTTGGTATGGATAAAAGAGTTTGTCTGACAATAGCAAATTCTTTTATTTTGTGTATTTATTGCAGAAAATTATGTGTGCAATATTTGTTTTATCCTATTTGTTATTACATTTAAAGAACTTAATAAAAAATTTGAGTTTAAATAATTTATATTAATATTATTAATTTTGTAATAGAAATAATGTTAAGGAAAATTTAAAATATAATTTAACAATATAGGTGAAAATTTGACAATTGTTGTGTATATTTATTATTGAATTCAATAATACTATTATTATTATTATTATTATATTTTTATTATATTTATATTATTTTATTATTAAGTTTAATAACTTAAGTTATTTAATTTTACTCACGCCACTGTGAGATTAATATTGTAAACCGCACCTGCAAGATCAGATAACTGTGATGTTTTGTTTGTTTTTGAGAGAAAAGGTTGGTCTGGTTTTGCAAGAATGGTAAAAGTGGCGTGATGGTTCGGCAGAGAAAAAAGAACTGTGGTGCAGTTGAGTTCGTTGGAAGTGTACGTAAGAAAGAAAATGTAAATAGTGGAAATAATATAAGTACAACGTATATCAGTGGTAATTAAATTGAATATAAAATCAAAAGTTTATAATTAATTTATTTAATAAATTGGAGTCAACACAAATTTAATCACATTTTTTTTTCAATAAAACCAATAAAGTAAATGTATAAATATTTAATATTCATGCATTTATACATATATTATTCTTATTATTATTGTGTATATTATTATTAATAAAAATTTTTTAAAAGAATTATTATTATAATAAAAATTTTGTAAAATAAATCGCTTTTAAAAAAAACGTTATTACAGGTCAAAACATGTAAAATTAATTAACAAAGAAAACTCTAATTATATATTGAATAGAAATATTTTTTTATTAGATATTAAAATGTTTGCTTCCACGGATTCGTGGGCAAGACAATTGCGATAAGGAAACATAATATTTGTAGTAGTTGAAAATACCTTTTATAATACCACAAATATTGTAAATACGCAAAGATCTTTTTTAACCATCTCAGCTGTTACAGGAAGCCGTTTTTCATGGATATTGATTTGTGGTTTTTAGAAATATGCATTAAATGTGTGTTGGCTTGGAAATTTTTTTTTTTTAAACGTTATATTTTACAAAATTTCTATTAATAATATAACAATAATAAAAAAAATATATTTATAAATACATAAATAATAATATTGTTAAATTTTTAGATACATTTTTATATTATTATTCTACCTTTAATATTCCCTCATGAAGTCTTCTAATAGTTTCATTACGGATAATAATCGCGAAGCCGAAAATTCGAAGGTTTCGAAGTCACAAAAAGTCCCATTTTTTTAAATTTCGAAAACTTCGTTTCCAATCCGATTAATTATAATTTAATTTTAGTCTAGAGGTCAAACATTTCAACCTTATTGAATTATAATGAGTAAACAGCCATACCCAAAAATTATACCCATATCTAAATTCAAACTGTGTTTATATTTTTTAAGTGATTATTATTCTAAATATTAACGAATAACTTACTTTATTGTTTTTCTACCATAGGTTGCTCAAATTTATAACAAAGATTTTCCTCAAAATGGCAAAAAAGGATTTTATTAAAGTACAGATCAATTTAATGCTGCTGTTATAATATTTCGTTTTTAATTTTTTAAATATACATTAAAAAACGATAAGGAATTTTATGTACTTACTTGCTGTAGTGTAATGGAAGATAACCAAAAGCGCTACCAACAGTAAAGAGATACTTGTTCTTTGATACATTCTCGCATGAGAAAAATTGAGATTATCATAATCTCTTATAAATATAAAATTGCAATTATTATTGACAGTAAATAAAATTAAGCTTTTTGCTACACTACGTTATACCTTGTTTTGCGATGAGAAGTTGAACAAAGACTGATTTTACTGTAAGCATTCTTATTATAAATATATCAAAATCAATCTCAGTATTAAAGCATGCTTTTTTGTTTACTATGTGTGCTATTAAATAAAAAATATAATACATAGATATGACACTAATAACAAAATGTAAAAAGATTAAAAGATCAAACTGGCATATAATGTAGCACTAAATTATTTAACACAAATTTATTAACGAATAATGAATGCAATTTAATTAATAAAAATGTATTTTGCATATTCAAACCAATCTATTATTTTTATTTTACAAAAATGTGGCCAGTGACGTAATGCGCACAGTATAATATTTTAACTTTATACTCTGAATTCATTTTAATTATAAATACAATTTAATTAATAAAAAAATATTTTCTTTAATATAACAATCCAATATGTTTATTTTATAAAAACTAGTTTCTGTTATTATTGATCCGTACTTATCAACCTTCAATAAATTTATATTTATTCATTGAATTTTTACAATAAATAATATTTTTTTTTTGTATATCTATTTTATACTTAAAATATTTTAATATTGATTTTGACAATATTTTATCTCTTACTATACTGGTCTTGTATTAAACTAAAATTTGATTTTCAAATTTTTATCGGGCTTAAGATCGGTTATTTGACACTTGAAAATAATAATGAGACAATTAATTCGCGCTAAAAATTTTCTTAAACTATTTAATAAAAGAAATTTATAATACATGCATATTTCGGTCTACTTCCTAAACAATCTTCAGTGTACAAATTATTTTATTGTACAAATACACTATTTTATCGTATAAACTATTGTCTTTCTAGCGGAAGGTGTAACTGCCGTTGATTGCCGTGGACTGCTCCGACCGCTGCTGCTTGTTTTTTAGAGTTGATGTTTTCACGAATTTTTTAATGATCTCTGGTAATAATTTACATAAGGAAAAAAGGAATTATTTATGGGGCAATTATGGCAACGATCTTTCAGCTCACCACACTCAAAAATCTTGCAAAAGATAGTTTGAAATATTTTTTGTATTCTGGCTGTTGTCTTGTGAAAGACTGTAAACAGCTTTCAGTCTTGCACAAGACCAAATGAAAGACTTGCTGTTGATCAGGTCTTTCGATTGTAGCTAAGATTTTGTTTGTATTTCTTGTGCACAAACTTTTTTATATACAATTAAATAAATAAAAATTAGTTTTACAAAAATTTTGAATTAATAACTTAAAATTTGTAAAAACTGAACAATTATTTCTAATTTAATTTTAATACGACGCAAACGTAAATGAATTGATATGCAATACTGTCATTAAAAAAATTTTGAAATAAATTTTTTATATATTTATATATGTATAATATACTATATATATTTTTTTATATATTTAAAATTCAGTACTATTTATTAAACATTGATTTATTCATCAATTTATTTATTTATCATATACATATATATTTAAACTATAATCCTAAAACCAATTAATTTGTTTTTGCCACTGCCGTTGTTAATGCAGCAATAGTTGCTATTATTTCTATTAAGACATAAGTTAAATTCCGTAAATAATTATTTATGTATAAATAATAATAAAAGTGAAATATGCGGCTCTCTATTTCTATTAGATTTATATTATATTTGTATTACAATCCAATTGTTTACTAACAAAAGAAATAGAACAAAATAGCTTTCTACCACAAATTACAAATGATAAAACTTTTTTTTGAAAGACTTTTGTGCGAGAATAGTTAAAATTTTACAAACGGTCTTATGTTCGATCTTACAAAGATCTTACGCAAGACTTTTAACAATGTTTGTCAGAATTGCTAAAAACATAGAAATATAAAGACATGCCTCTGTTAAATCATGAATTCTAAAAAGGTACCACGCAATGGTATAAACATATCTGTGCAAACCTATAAACAATCGAATATTTCATGTATGATCAATGCTATTTTGTTATTGAAGTCAACAATCAAGCCAATAGCGAACATGTTGTATTTTGCTTGGACAAAACCATATAGAAAAAACTCTAAGATCAGAGCAAATGCACATATAATATCTAGTGCATGCATAAGTAGTTTTCTTGGTACATTTTTTCTATTCTTCTTTGTTATCGCAGACTTACTTAATATCTTTGTATGGTAGTTGAGACAATATATTTGAATGTGTTGCTTTGTGTGCTTTTTTTTTCTTAAAATATATGGCTCCCCAGTAGCAGAATTTTCAAGGCCTTGTCAAAAAAATGCCTTTTAAAAGCATTTCATCAGAAGGTTAAATGAAATTCGCAGGCCTTTCGTTAAAGTACTTCAAAAAGGCCTTTACTGAGGAAGCGTGACTAAAGGAGTTGATGCGCATTGCGTACACGCAAGCGGTATTCAAAGCATACTTGCATGTTTTGTTTTTAAGTATATCTGTACTTTTTTTGTATTGCTTTACTTTTGCTTTATTTCGTTGTTGTGTCTACACTACTCTCTCTTCTTTGTTAAGTTAAATTATTGCAAGTTGTGAAATTCTAACAAAATTAATACATGTGTAAATTTAAAAGTAAGCTGATCGCGAGCGAGATAATTTATAAATAGTGCATATAAAAAGTAATAACAAAAATATATGAACTAACGGACCTATTCTGTGCACTTATAAACTTGTCAAACATTGACATTTATCAAAATTGACTGCTGTAAAGGTTTTGGTATTCTGTGATATAAATAAAAAGCTCTTTTTCTTGTTAGTTGTCAATACTATAAATGCTCTTGACAACTATAAAAATATGCTCTTTTTAAGTATTTTTTATTTTTTGCATGCATGACAAATATTCTTAACTAAAATATACGCTCTTTACAAGCATATTTTTTATTGTTATTTGAATGCATGAAAAATGCTTTTGGCAACTTAATATCTGTGCTCCTCACAAGCATTTTTTACGAACACTTACGAACAATTACGAACAGATTTCTATACAAAACACTTTAAACCATAGTGTGGTGAGAAGCACTAGGTACTTGAGCTTTGAAATTTGTCAAGATGTGTCCAGAATACCAAAAAGCTTTCTGCTTTATAAAAATCAAAAATTTTATTAAAGAATTTGACAAATCTGTCAAGTGCACAGAATAGGTCCGTAAATAAATAAAAAAATGAAAAGACATCTAAACAATAAATATTAAATAATAGTGCAAAACAGTGAAAAATTTTGCAGAATTTATTTGAGAACTAGAATAAAAACAATTGTAAGTATACTTTTATTTTAAAATGAGTAGTAGAAGTACGTTGAAAAGAAAAATTAGTGCTGAAAATTGGCTTTAATAAAAAAATTGAAAGAGAGCACAGAATATTCAGAACAAGTGAATGCATGTTATCGCACGCTCTCACTTTGTAGGGTTAAATGTAAAAGACATAATCATTTATAAGAGAAAATAATAGAGAATAAGATAGATTTTAAGTTATGATCTGAGCAAGATTTGAGTAAAAAGCTTTATTTGTAAGCTCAGACTATTTGAATATAAAAGTAGAAGCATTGCTCACTTAGATTATATTCTTGTACGGTTAGAACGTAGTCACATGTAAATGCTATTCATTTAATAAATATTTTTTTAAAATTTAACCGCATTTATAATCTCATTAATTGGCGCCCGAGCAGGGACCTTGAGAAAAGTGTTATTCGGAAAGTGATCAAAGTGCTTTTTGAATAAAACATTTGGTGGAGTATAAAGTGAATAACAAAGTGGTGAAAAATTAAAAGTAACCCGAAAAAATTTTTATCACAAAAAGCCAAATTCAATAATAAAGAATCGCACAGTCACGAACACCATTTTCAAGACATTAAAATAATTTAACGAGAAAGTGACTTTATATATATATATATATATATATATTTATATTTATATAATCAGCTGCTTCAAATAAATTATTCATTTGCTGCCAACTGGAGCTGAGGAAAAGGATTCCTGAACAGCAGAGAACCCAATCACCAACAATCAAGTATCCTCATCGTCAGGAGAAACGTGAGTTAGGTTTCAAAAAATTTTGTTTTTATATAAAAGAACCCAAATCGAATTATTGTCATTGTATGTTAACTATTATTTTCGAATTGCCATCGTAAAAAAAAAACGAACATAAAATTATATTAAAAAATTTTATTAAGAATATTAAATATTATATTATTGAATTAAAAAAATTAATTAAAAATTTTTGAAAATATTTTTTATTTTTCAAATATATTGAAATTATATTGTTAACCACCCTTAAATCTGGAAGAACTAACAGGGAAATTTTCAAACATGACTACAAACGAGAACACTACTTTCACCTCAGACTTAGTAACACATCTTATAGCTGCTTATAGCTGAAATTGACGGTCTGAAGAGACAAATACAGACATTAGAGTCCCTTAATTTAACGGTAAAAACGGTTCTTACGTGAGCTGGCGCGAAGCCGCAAATAATTCTCTAAGCCTATCACCCGCGGTAGTAGAAAATACTTCGCCGCTTTAACCATAGGTTAGGTTAGGTTATACCGGTGATCCCTAGTGGATCCACTTAGGCCTATTGGCCCATTGTGATGCCGTATATAAATACTAAAAGAAAGTAAAAGAAACCTCAGGGTTTAAAACCATCTAGAACCTTTTGCGAAGCATAAAATGCTATTTAAAGCCCGATCCTGTAACTGGTCCAGGTCCTCAAGGAAGGGGGCCCCTAGAGTACTAAATCGCCGACGTGCAAGAGCTGGACAAAAACACAACAGATGAGATGCGCTCTCATCAGATTTGGTTGAAAGGAAGACCTAGTCTTCTAGCATGGTTCCCTAGCTTACAGTGCCCTGTAATCAACCCTACCAGAAGACCAATGTCCTTGCGGGACATCTCAATTAGAGTTTTCGATTTCCTTTTATCGGAAAGTGGCCAGATTGCATACAGATGTCTACATATCGTTGAGTCTTCCCATCTTTTATTAAAAGTATTATCGCAGAAAGAACTCAATATAAGTTTACATGATGTTAGCGATATGCCCAGATAGTCTAGGTGCTCCGAGTATGGTTCTGAAGCACCCTTTCTGGCTAACTCGTCTGCTTTGCAATTTCCGAAAATATCCCTATGGCCGGGAACCC